TAACGCGTTCCTGGTTTTGGCATAATAACTAGTTACCGTGCTCGTTACCACAATAATAACGTAGTTACTGTAACGCGTTACTTAATAACGCGTTAGTCCCAACACTGCAAAACATACATCGCTCCTTGTGAAAAACTACCTCCAGAAGACCAAAGTAAACATTGCTGACTGGCCTGCACAAAGCCCTGACTCGAATCCCTTTGGAAATCTGTGAGATGAACTGAAGATCAAGATCCGTGCCTGAAGACCGTCAAATCTGGAGAAGCTTGAGAGATTCGTCAAAGAACAAGGAGCTGGAATTGCTCAGCAGACATGTGTTTTTAAAAAAGCTGACTATTAGCATCTATTTTGACCCTGGTAGGATTGGGGAGTTTTGTGATTTATTTTTGTGTGTGTGCAAAGTAAAATAATGTAACTTTCAATAATGCAAACTTGGATGCTCTGTTTGTTTGTTTTTAACAGCATTAGGAAATATTTAAAAAAATTATTACTAATGTAATTTTCATTGGAGGGTAATAGTTCTGTCGTCTAACCCTCCTCTCTCCCAGAGGCTAACAGTGCTTTGCCCTTTTAGTGCAATTTGAGGTTGATTGCACACAGAAATATTTCAGGTTTTCTCTGGAAACTTGCACCAGGCTGTACTAACTATGATAAGCTCTTTGAGATGTTCGTGATGGTTCGTTTGTAATTGTGAAATGTCCAACAGTCCCTAAGTGCCTCACCACCCCACTGCCTTTCACTCCCACCTCTGGAAACGCTAAACACACCATGCACACACACTCGCTCACACAAACACACACACATTCCAGCGGGCGGAGTCCGTGACGTGTCGTGCTGTTTGTGAATGAGCTGCAGCGAGCTGTGCTCACCTCTCAGAGTCCCAGCCAAGCCCAGCAGCGGAGAGAGGAAGGAAAAGTTTTTCCAAATGGATTTCTTGGGTGGAATCAAACGTTATTTGTTTTCATACGTACTTCTCAATGGCATATTTATTACAATACAAACTAAAGAAGGTGAGGGACTTTTTTTTTTTTTTAAAGCAAATCATTTAAAAACCTGGTTGCATTAAATCTTTCTGTGAGATTTTGCTTAAGGGAAGCACGCGTGCCATGCGGGACACCAACTTAAAAGTTGTTTTTTTTTAACAACCAGGAAATATTCTTCATGCTTTATGACAGTCCTGCACTGCTCTGTCTCTTTCTTTATTTCAATGTTTTATTTGGATAAAAAAAGAACTTCCCGGAGTTTGGTTTGATTATTAACCATCAGCAATGCTGAGACTTCGTGTGCGCTTCAGTAAACCACGTCGCAACAGCAGGTGAAATCTGCCACAATTTGAGTGATCGCGCTGTGATGTTTTTTCCTCCCACTCCTTCTCTATATTAAAAGAGGAATAATAGATTTCAACACGCTGACTCGAGTATATCAAAGTTTGCTGGCATGTGGCAAATGAAACGTCTAATACTCATGCAGCGCGCTGCCGCTCTTATTTAACTAAAGTCTGATCGCTTCTTTAGTCTAAGAGTACAACTCCAACTTATTCATGGCTTCTTATTTACAGATATCTCTTCTGAAGAATCAAAAGTTAAATATTTTTTACTTATTTCAAACGAAACAAAATGTTTTCTGGATAAATATTGTGAAATTGAAATTGTTCTCGTGTCTCCACAGAAGTGCTTTTGGACATGAGGGCGTCAGGAGATGAACTGGGCTGGCTGACTTGGCCCTTAGATCAGGGAGAGAAGACCGGGGTGAGTAAAGCTCTGCTTCTGGTTTCTCCTCCAGCTCCCACGTTTCCTGTTGGAATTTGCCTTAAGGACAAATCAGCACGGAGAAAATGCACGGAAAGGCTCCAGCTGAATGTAGACCCTCCACTTTGATGACATTTGACTATTTGACTCCTGTGGTTAGATGTGGAGCGGCTGCTGTGTGTGTATGTTTAGTTTTTTTTTTTTTGTTTGTTTGTTTTTTTTTAATGAAAATCAGTTAACCTTATATGCAATAGAGTAGCAGGATCCTATCAGGAACTGCATCCAAGCATGTCTGGACTATACCAAAAGCTTAGGCAGACAGAATAGCTGCTAGCGCTCAACTGGGAATACTTGTGGCTTCTTGTGGTTTGAAGGCTTCAGCTCCAGAATTGTATGTCAGAGAGCAATTAACTTTTAAAGTTTGCAGCATGTGGTGCCTCTCTATTTTTTTGGGGGGGGAGAGGATGGGTTTAGGATGGAGGGGGAAACGTAAACGTCTACATTTAGTGCAGTGCCCGGCACATTATTACACCAGTGTACTAGAAACATATAATGCCTTCTGATTGGGCTGCAGTTTCACAGTAATTGACCAGTCAGGCTCATGCAAATTCACAGTAAATGGCTTCATTTCATGTACTGATGAGTCAAAGGCATGTGCAGGCGTGTTCGTGATGGCTCACCCAAATTTCTTGAAGAGAAAAAAGGAAAAGAAATAAAACCTGTACATAAGTTTCACTTTTTCATTAATCAGCCTCAGGTGTTTTAAGGGCCCCTCGTAAAAATTGTGAAAAATGTTCACCAGCTGTTTTATAGATGTGTGGGTTCTGCTGCTGCACATTTAGTTTATATGCACAGCCACACAATCGGCCAGCTAAGCACTTTTTTTTTTTAAATTTAATTAATAGGACAGGGGCTACATGCAGAGACTAAACCACAGCCTCTGTCTCCGTGGGGCCAGTTGTTTCTCAGGAGCCAAGGTTTTGTTAAAACTCGCTGTCACTTTTTTTTCACCAGAGATATTTGTGGCACCATTTAATATGCAAGCAGCAAAGCTATTTGGGGAACATGCCAACAAGTAGCGGGGGGGGGGAAGAGAATTGGAATTGGAAATAATTTGGTATCTTTGCAATGTCAGAAATGCTCATGCTCATCAGCCCCTGAGGTTTGCTGTATTGTTATGCTGCTCGTAAAGTGCACTTTTCCATGTCCCAGAAATGTGTTATTGCTGTGAAGCTGTAAAAATATTCACAGGGAGTAATTAGCAATTTGTGGAGCATGGCTTCCCTGACACACACTCATACCGTTCATACAGTAGTACAATAGCTGAACCCTTATGAGGAGTGCGATGGAGCCTTTTTCCTTTGCTGTCCTGGTAGTTTTGGTTTGCACATGCTTATGGGCTGCCCAGGGCTCAGTGTTCGTACCTCTTAACCTTTTTCGCTTGTGTGTGTGTGTGTGCTCTTATTCTTTAGTGGGAGGTTGTCCAGAGGACTCTAAATGGCTCTCAGTTCTACACGTACTCCATCTGCAACGTGGAGGAGCGTGAGCAGGACAACTGGCTGCGCACCACCTTCATCCAGCGGCATCCATTGGCCTCGCGGGTTTTTGTGGAACTTAAGTTTATCGTACGCGACTGCAACTCTTTCGACGGAGCCTCGTTAATATGCAAGGAAACCTTCAACCTCTATACGTCCGAATCGGATGCAGATGTGGGCACCACCTTCCGCAAGAGCCAGTTTAAGAAGGTGGCCACCATAGCTCCGGATGAGATCACCGGCAAAAATGAAATGCACATCAACACAGAGACGCGAGTGGTGGACGGGCTGTCTCGAAAAGGTTTCTACTTGGCCTTTCAAGACATCGGAGCCTGCATCGCCCTTCTCTCCGTCAGGGTCTTCTACAAAACCTGCCCGGGCACCGTACAGAATCTCGCCACGTTCCCCGAGACGGTGGCCGGAGGTGAGAACCAGCCGCTTACGAAAGTGAGCGGGGTATGCGTGGATAACGCAGCCAGTGAGGAGTCACCTCGCATCTACTGCACCGAGGAAGGGAAGTGGGCGGTGCAGGTCGGACAGTGCCAGTGCAAACCAGGCTACGAAGAGGTCAAAGACGCATGTCAAGGTGAGCACATGCGATTGAGTCTCTGGAATTCTCAAAGTCTTTCTGTCTACAGGCGCTTCGTCTGGGTGTAAACCAGGATTCGCTTCCCAGGAGAGTGTGCTTTTTAAAGCACCCATCCAGCATTAGTCACTATTTACCTTTATTTTAATTGCCACGGGGTGTAAAACAGGCCTGGATGGCAGAGTGTGGATCTTCATGACGGGTATTATGATTGTAATTCAGTGGAATTCTGCCTTTGGCTAACATGGTTCTTTTTTGCAATGGAAGGAATGTTGAGGCCTACTTGTACATGCCCTAGCATTATCCCTGACCTTGAACTGATACCTGTAAAATTAGGAAAAGTGTTTTTGGGTTTCACTATGACTAACATGTGCAGTTCTGAGGAAAGAGTCATGTGAAGCACTTTAAAGCCTTTGTAATATGGAGGCTTAAGTTGGGAGAAGAGGTTTCGAGTCAGGTTGTACTTGACTCATTCATTTTTCATCGCTGGTGAATCTCATTTGGTAACAAAAAATATTGAAAATGTATCTTTTAAATAAAGAAACTTTTTGGTTGGAGTCACGCTCAGCTTTCAAATCACATATTTTAAAGTCTTGCTCAAGCACATGGCCTTTCGTGGTTCAGGGCTTACAGCATGTTGCATTAGGTTGTTTTCCTGCCACCTCATTATCACCTGTTCTCGTTATCTTTTGAGTGTGATATGTCGTCCAGTGATACATCTGTCCCTTTGCCTTTGTAGTTGTGGTGCAGTTGAGCCTAAAGTCCTGCAAAAGAAGGGTTTTATTATTGCGGTGAGGGCTGTCAGAGTGACTGAAAGTGATCAAAGAAGCCGGGAGGCTACTGTACTGTGATGGATTAGCATCTTTAAAGATGGTTTGGGGATGGGGGGAAGTGGGAGGCGGCAGGAGGAAGCTTTTTGAGCCTCACTCACTTTGTTCATATCAAGCGTCACAGAGCGCTGAAGCCCTCCTCTTATGTGTGAACGGGCAAGTTGGCTGTATGTCCCCCTGTCTGCATCCATGTCTTGATCCTCCTCCCTCTGTTGTCACAGATTTACTGAGCTTCCACTGTGGGGTGTGTGTGTCTGACTTTAGCAGTGTATATGAACATATTGCACAGCCCGGCATGCAAGGACCTGTTCAGATCCGTTTCCATAACTGAACACCTGAAGACTCAGGAGCCTCATTCTCTGCTGCTCGTGACACTTGGTCGTACCCACCCACATACCTGACCTGAATCACTCGTATACGGGTATGAATACCTCTAATCGTCATCTGAAAGACATTTGGGGGCAGCGGTTGTAAATCCACCTGTGGCTCTGTAACAGATCTACTTTCCCATTTAGTTTCCCCACCAGTGGTAGCGCTGTTTTAAAAGCGATTACGTTTTCTGTCAGTAGATCATTTCTAGCTGCAGGAAAGTGGCAGGTAAGATGATTAGGGAGGAGAAGCAGGAAGGAATGAGCGAGAGAGAGGGGTCATGCAAAAACGAGAAGCTGTGTTTAGAGGAGGGGGCGTGATTTTTTTTTAAATGGAGAGAGGAGAGGGAATGTAAAGGTAGGAGAACAATGGAGTGCTGTGTTTCCCACCGCATGGCCGGTGGAGCACACCTCCACCTCCTCTCCCTCGTGGTTGATACATTCCTGATCGGTTTGCTGAGGAGGAGCCTTCCAGCATTACTCCAGACCTGTGGAATTCCCAGGAGGGGGAAGAGCAGCTCCGGGTCGAGCCCTCACATAAAGATGACTAAACAAAGCCCCCCCCGCCCCAAGGGGGGAAAAAACTACCAGGATGAAGTTAAATGAGAGGCCTAAGATGCATGAGGGCAGTTGCAGATGAAGGTGGAAATGAATCACAGAGCTGCAGTGTGGGCCAAGATGAATGGTTCAGAGAGCTTAAAGTGGAATATCCTACCGACGCACAGTTAATCATTCTCCCCGCTTCTTTCCTGTGTGGAGCGCTGTTACGGGAGAAACCACAAAACTTCAATTGTGGCGCTTTTTCGTACTTGGGTTGAAAGTTTCCATGTTCGGCAATGTGTTCACTCACTTTTATGACTCCTTGCTCCTCCCGTGGGACCTGTTAAAGTAGAAACCTGTGACTTCATCTGGTTTTTGTCTCCCGTCTCTTCATCACAGCTCCTCACTGTGGTACTTTTTTGGCTTGGAGATCACTCTCTGTCAAACTGTACCGCAGGGATCTTTTTCCCCCTTTTCTTTTCTCCCCCCCCCTTTTATTTTTTAAACCTCTGAGGTTTTTTGTTGTTGTTTTTTCTTTTTTCTATTTGGTGTGTTGCGCTGTTCTCTTGGTGGCTGTCGATGCTCAGAACCGAGCAAACAGACCCTGAAGATAAAACGCATCGCTTCCTGCACTGCACTGAGTGTTTAGAGCAGTTATTGTAAACGTTTTTATGAACTGGTTGTAAATCATATGAGTCAGCAAGGCTGACAAGATGGGGTTTTTTTAGGGGGGGGGGGCGTGGTTTTTAAAATTGGGACACTTTTAGATACTTTACAAGTGTAGATTTTGTAAAAAAAAAAAAATTAAAAATCTCTTTTTACATTTTTTTTTAATTAAGCTTTTTATTTAATGCTTAAAAATGTTCAAAAAATTGTATTTAAAAACCCCCACTTAATCTAAACTGTAAATAGAGCACTGAGGAAGCTTTCTTTGATTGTTTCCCTTCACCATCTGCTATGTATCAGGATGCTGTGGAAATAAACTTTGCTTTTTTTATTCTGTGGGGGGAAAAAAATCACAACTTTCTTTCAATTACCTGGTCAGTCTTTTAAACCTCAACACTTTCCCCTTGTGACTCACTTTTGACACTGACACAGTTTTCCTCTGCAGCCGATCACGCCCTTCCTTACCCACAGTCCTCCCTGGCACAATGCAACGGCATACCCGTTGCACCTCCTCAAAGGATCACAGCTGGTCCTCTGGTTTTTGTGTCTAAGTGCCCTGGTCCACACCTCATCGGTCGCTCTAAAGCCTCAACAAATAAGGCCTAATCCCATATTATGGTTTACAGAAGACGCTATAGAAAAAGAAAAAGACACGCAGTGTGGCATATTTGGACTGCTGAGGGCACTTTCGGTGGAACAACTGTTCCCCCGAGTTCCAGTAAAGTTCCGACTCCTCTCCAAAAAGCTTCCAGTAAACCATTTTCTCCCCCCCACCTCTTGCTCTCTGAGTCCGTGTTTCCGAGCTCGTCCTCAGCTGATGTAACAAACAGTTGGTGACTGTTGTAATTGTGACTGCATGCTGTGGTGAGTGATTTGTATGGGTAGTAATTGACTTGGGTGTGTTTAGTCTTTTTAAGCAGAGTAACTACTGGTTCTGCTTGCTTTTTTGCCTTTGTGCAATCTCTCTTTTTACCGTCCTCTACCCCTCTCTCCCAACATCCTCCCTGTCCCTGAAGAGTCTTTCTATTTTAGCCTCCTCAATTTTCCGCCCTCCCATCTCGTATTTATTTAATAGTTTCTCATCTCAGCGGATTATTTGCATCGTCATTTTATCGCAATTTACTCCCGAAATGCGCACTGTTGCAGAAGCTGCCCCAAGTACAATAAACTTACAGACAAACAAAAAGTCTTTCCTCCACGTCTTGTGTTCATGTCTCCTGTGAAATCACTGAGTGGCTGTTATTACTGGCCGGGGTTCAGGTCATGAATATGACACCAATAGAGTTTAAACATCCCGTTTCACACGGCTATGATGGGACTATTTAGACTGTGTACAATTCTCATCTCAGCCCTTGATAAATACATTTCTCCGCAAGTGGCTCGTAAAGATAAATAGAAGCTAAATTAGAACAATTCTGCCAATGGGAGAGTTTTTAGTGGACGGGGAGAGGAAAAAACAACTGGCTTCATGTAATGGTTAAGCCATAAACATTTGATGGAAGTAAAATATTTAAAAACAAAATACTTGATCTGGCATTTGCAATCTAAAATGTCAGAGATAGACACTTCAGTAGATGTAAATCTTTTAATCTGGTTGCGCTGAGAGCCAGCTGGTTCCTCATGGTGACTGCAGACTTATTAAAACAAAGGTGTTGTGCAATTTCACTCAATCTGATGGTGACTGTGCAAAGACGTGAACACGGCACCACTCCTCAAGATGACAGGGATTTCATTTAGCTGGCTTAAAGTGGATTTTACACAATGGAATCATCTCACTCCTGCAGGATAATCCCCACACTGAAATTTTCTGCTCTACCAAACTCCTTTAACCTTTGATCCCTGTGGCTGATCTCCAAAATAGGGGAAAAAAAGGGGGAAAAATTGCTTAAGTCACAAACTCGTTGGACAGTGCTGTTCATTTAGATGCACAGTCTAGATATAACCTTGGCTATAAACCCACTGTGATTACACTGATTTACTTTGGATTTCTCAGATCTTACGCCAAGCTAACGTCTGCCTAGCGGGCTGAACTTGAGTGAGCTGGTTAGGTAATGGGGGTGGGGGTGGACTTTCAAGTGGTGTCATGCACAGTCTTGTTGGGCCATGCTTGTAGCGAGCAGAACACTGGCAGTTAATTCAAACAAGATGACAGAAAATGTAGCACAAGTTTTTAATGTGGACTGCAGCTAATCATGCTACTGTGGTTTAAAAAGTGTGACTGGTGTTGCGGTCAAGCCGTGGGGCACTTCATGATTTTATTTTAAAAAATATGTATATATTTAAAAAAAAAAAAAAAAATCTGAGGTGAATACCTAACCCTACAGTGGCCCTGATAGGTCAAACCAAGTGCAACTCAAGAAAACAAGAGCAAATAGAAAAACAGTAGAAGTTAAATAAAACTCAACCGTGTTTTTGCGGAGACATTAACGTGACAGAACAGTTGCGTCTAACCTTGTGAGGGCGAAAAAGTTGCAGGTAATGCATGTTTTAATTCATATAATACCGTAGATGCATGTTTGCTATTAGCGATTTCCTGTTAGCTTACTTCCACAGCTGTTCCATCACATTATTTTCTCCCCCTAAAATTTGGGAGTTT